TTTGGAAGCAGGAGTGGCATCCATTTCCTAAACAACATACCTCCGGAAACTCTGTGAACTTTGATAAATGTTAGTATTTGTAGAGGGGCTTTAGGCCTTTTGTTCATAAGGTGGCTATGAGTCGTGCTCGACTCGAAGGCAATCAACAACAACAAAAACATACCATTATTTAGAAACTGACCCAGACATAGGTATACACAAAGTATAAGAAACTTAAGAGACTAAAATTAGGGAACCAGAGATACTAAACCATAAAGGAGAACAACTGCAAGGCAAAGATAGGGAGTAAAATAGATAGTTACAGAAATTCTAAATGAAGAAGCAACCAAGGTGAACTATTTTACACTTGAGAATAAAGGAATAAACTTATAGGATAACATCAAAGAAAAGTCATAAATGTCATCAAAAGAAATAAAAAAGAATAAATATTCAGTAAACACAAATATAGCAGCAATGAAAGACATTATGGGAAAGCTATAAATAAAATTAACTCAGCACACAAATATAGATGAAACAAAGAAGCCAGCAACACCACACATACACTCCCCCCAGTTAAATACAGCAGTAAATTTATACCTATCAATAATTATAGTGACTTTGAATTAGATGCACCAATCAAGAAAAAAAGAATGACAGAATAGATAAGAAAATATGACCCATCAGTATGCTGTCTACAAAAGACATATGTTAGATACAATGATAAGCTAAACTAAAAGTAAATAAGATGGAAAAATATATCAAGCAATTTGCATTCAGAAAAGAGCATGATTGGCAATATTAATTTCTGATTAGATAGAATTCAAGACAAAGCCATTATAAGAAAGCCAAAGAGTTAATAGAACATGAGACTATACTATCTAAGCATCAATGACAAAATTGAATGATACAGAAATAAAAATTCAAAAGATTGAACTGCAGTTTAAATACAGCAACAGATAGCTCCACAATCTAGGAAGGGAGAGGGAAAACACCCCCCAACCCAATAATCTCAAGCTCACTCACTGCCTTGAGATCCTCTCAGTGATCCTCCACTGGGTTCCTAAAGCTGCAAATAAATGTTAAAGGAGAAAATTGCCTCTTTTCTCCCCTGGAACAGCTTGTGAATTGAAACTGCTGGAGATGCACAACATTTTGTTAGTAAGCTAATCCTTATTTGCATCAGAGCTCTTAGGAGGAGGATGCAGTACATCACTCTTGATGAAAGAACAACTAGAAGGAAACACCAATTGCAATGAATCAACTTGATCTCATAGACACATACAGAACATTCCACCCAACAAGAGCACACTATACATTCTTCTTCATTGCACATGGAACATTCTGTAGAACAGACCATATATTAGGTCACAGAACAAGCCTCAATAATTTCACAGAAATACTACAAAGCATCTTCTCAGACAACAATGCTATAAAATTAGAAATCATCAACAAGATCAAGGGAAAGAAATAAGTGCAAAGAAAGAAAATAATACTCTCCTTGTATACTAGCAGGTACTATAACAATAAAAAATAAATTTTAAGAATTCTTGAAATGAATGATAATGAAAACACAATAGACCAAAATATCTGAGACCTAGAAAAAGCAGAGTTTAGGGATAACATTTTTAGCAATAAATACAGAGAAAAACACACAACCCAAAACAACCAAAATCAACACCTTATCCCATTATCACCAGCAGTTAGAAAAAGAACAGAAAGAAAAACCTAATCTCCAGAATAAATGAAATGATAAGAATAGACATAAGTGGGATAGAAAAAATAGTGTCAAGAAGACTAGAAGTCAGTTCTTTGAAAAGATTAAGAAAATTAATACAGTATTGGCAAATCTAACAGAGGAAAAGCAGGAGGTGATGCAATTAACAAATGAATGATGTCACAATAGAACCAATTGAAATAAAAAGGATAATAAATGAAAACTATTTAAGTGTTGCTTTCACGTGTTGTGGAATTGATACTGACTTTAGCTGACCCTCCAGTGGGTCTTATTGTTGTTTGTACCGTCGAGTTGGAACCGACCCATAGCTGATCCTCCAGCGGGTTTACAGAAGCAATAAGTCACACTAGAGAGGACTGTCCATCTTTCTCTCACATGCATTTTGGTGGGTTCCAACGGTATGCCTTTGAGTTGACAGCCAACTGCTTACCACTATGCCATCAGAGTTTCCTAAGTGTGCATCAAAAGGCTTCTATAAAAGAGTAAACATAGAACCTAAAATGGGAAAAATATTTGGCAATGGCGTGATTCATTTCTAAAATTCATAGAAAGCTCCAAAGGTTGTATCCTTTAGCCATATCTAGTTAATCTGTATGTTGGGCAAATAGTCTGAGAAGCTGGATTATTTGAAAAAGGTGCACCAAGACTGGAGGAAGACTCATCAACAACCTAATATGGAGAGGACACAAGCTTGTTTATTGGGCAAAATTTCTATATATGTTAAGGATGGCAATTGTTATGCATGTTGCAAAATTTTCCCCTTTCTGCCTTTTGTGTAGTCAATTCTATCAGTCACTGTTTTTCTTTCCTCTTCATTCCTTATGTTTAAGAAATCTTGCCTCACTCTGAAAAAAAAATACTCCACAAACAAAACCCCACATTTTCTAATTCATTGTTGTTGTGTACCATCAAACTGGAACCAGCCCACAGCTGACCCTCCAATGAATTTTCACAGGTTTGAGGCCTTGAGCACGAATGAGCGAAGACCAGATGAGCTGTGGGAACATTTCAAGAATATTATCCATGAAGAATGCAAAAGGTCATTATAAAGACAGAAGAGGAAGAAAAGACCAAGGTGAATGTTAGAAGAGACTCTGATTATTGCACTAGAACACTGAGAAATGAAAGCAAAGGGAAGAAATAAAGATGTTAAGGAGCTGAACAGAAGATTTCATAGGGCAGCTGGGGTAGACAAAGTATTAAAGTGAACTGTGCAAAGAGCTGAAGTTGGAAAATCAAAAGGGCTGAACTCGCTCAGCATTTCTTAAACTGAAGGAACTGAAGAACAAATACAAGGCACAAGTTGCAAAGCTTAAGGATGCTGTGGGCAGAATATTGAATCACCCAGGAAGCATCAAAAGAAGATGGAAAGAGTACACAGAGTCACTGTACCAAAAAGAATTGGCCAACACAGAAGAATTTAATGAAACAACTTATGATCCAGAGCCTATGGTAATGGAGGAAAGAATTGGAAAAAACCCAAGCCCCCAGGAATTGATGGCATACTGATTGACATATTGGAACAGATGTTGTCCTGGGTGTGCTCACCACCAGGTGTGCCAAGAAATCTAGAGGATAACCACCTGGCCAACTGACTCAAAGAGATCCATATTTGTTCTGATTCCAAAAAAATGATGACCCAATAGAGTGTAAAAATTATCTAACAGAATCACTAATATCACATGCAAGCAAGATCCTGCTGAAAATGACCTGTAAACGACTGGAACAGCACATCAATAGAGAACTGCCAGAAGTGCAGGCTGGGTTTAGAAGAGGCACTAGGTGACACTAGGAATATTATTATAGCCAATGCAAGATAGATCTTGACTGAAAGCAGAGAGTACCAGAGGAATGTCTATCTGTTTCATTGACTATGTAAAGTCTTGTGTACAGATTACAACAAACTGTGGCTATCTCTGAGAAAACAGAATTCCAGAACACTTGCTTGTGCTTATGCAAAACCTGTACTTGGACCAGGAGGCAGTCATCAAAACAGAGCAAGAAACATTGCTCGGTTCAAAATCAGGATGAGTGTATGCCAGGGATGCATCCTATTCACATATGGAATTACGTATATTATTCTATTATGCTATTTATATATAAATATATATGCTATTTGGGTCTCCAGTAGTATAAAGAATCAGGCACTGAAAAGTTCTAGAAGGTATTTTATTTGCTTTATCCTTTCAACAAATACAGGTTCAAAAAAAGGTAAGACATTTGCCATTCAGGGTCTTGGAGCTAATAAATAGTAGATTTTGCAGAGGACCTAGTGTGGTGGAAAATAAAGCTCTTAGGATAATTAACTGTCAACTCAAAACTGTCTTTTGCTAAGGCCAGCTATTGGAACTTCAGGGGCTACAGTAATTTGCTTTGTCAATTGGCCATTCATAAAATAAACCGAAGTTTCTTCCACTTTCGGTCCATTCATCTCCCACACTGCTATAAAAAGGGGCAAGCTCTGAGAAACAAAAAATGCAACAAACGAATGGGTAGGGAAGCTGTGGTATATTCGCACAATGGAATACAAGGAACTCATGCAATATTATTCAAAATGGGTGAACCTGGAGGACATTATACTGAGTGAGGTATCTCAGTCACAAAGGGACAAATGCTATATGGTGTCACTGTTGTAGAATGAGGCTGGCATTGGGGTGGGGGTAAGACTGAGAAAAACTGGATGAAATATGTTTACGGCATTGA